ATAGAAATGCTGGTCACTTTTTGGAAGTGATCGTCTTAGGGAGGATGGTCGCCAATCGTTTATGGGCTTACTAGATAGTCTGGCTCTAGGCGGATCACGCATTGGCGCATTGTAAAATGTATATTAAATCCTCTGTCTAAACGATCATCCTACATTTCCAATTATTTTGGTCTTTGGTGGAAGTGGTCGTCTTCAGAGAGATAATGCTCAGTACAAGCGTTTATTTCTACTCTTGGGAAAATTTTTTTGGAAGAGGTCGCGCACATAAGAAGGTTCATTGCATATTAAATGTTTAAATCCAGATCACATGGTTATAGAATCCATTTTAATTAGATTTTAAAATTTTAGTAAAATAAAAAATCTGAAAAGTTTCTAATTTTAAATTACGTCCAAAGGGGCCTTTTTTTAACATTTTGTGTGTTACCTTTGTTTATTAAATATCATATTCTTCGCACTTTAAACATAAAATTCAGTTCAAGAGCAGTATCGCAAAGTAATTTTAAATTGAGCATATATTTAGAATTTCCGATTCAGTCTCATGCGCTGGAGATAAAAATGTTTTTTCTGTACAACGTTGCCATGGCTCTCTTTGAAATTCTTGAGTTTGTTAATTAAAAATTTGTTAACGTTTTACAAAATATGAAATCGATAATAAAACAAATTCCAAATTTCAAATTTGGGCTTCCCAGTTGCCCCTATTCGCAGTAGGGTTGGGTTGGGTTATTCAATTATGGAAAAGGACACGAGGGCTGTCTGCCTAAAGGGAGGGATGCCTTCGTGGAGGACTTACTAAGGGAAACTGACTCGTATACACGTTACGCATGGGGAAAACCACGAAAACGCCCATGCAGCCATGCCCGTTCGCGGGATTCGAACCTCGGACCGAACTACCAGTGTTCAGCGTCTTTACCGCTCGGCCGCTGGTGGGCTATTCGCAGTAGGAGTACGTCATTCGAAACTCGATGACTCTAGGTACCGTTCTTTTATCACAATATTTGGTGGCAGCAGTTTGAAAAGTGAAACGGACATTCAGCGTGATTCGACGCAAAATCGCAAAATGAAAACAATAGTCCCTCAGGAACAAAGCGCCTTTGGACTAATAATTTTGAAATAAGCCTCTTAATTTTAATAACTGTGATATTTTTGTTTTCACACCTTAGTGCAAAATTAAACAATTGCTGATACGTTACTTTTTATTAAAATCAAATGAGAAAAAAAAATTATGGAAAATTAATTAGCTAAAAAAATTAGTACTATTCTTATCGCAAACCGTAACTTTAAATTGCATCTACAACTGTTTCTTATACCAAAGCTCAGATGAATTCGTTTTTCTGTTATGCGTCAATCAATGTTTCACTAAACCGCAGCTTAAGGCTATAACTACATGCGGTGCGAGGAGAGCAATTACTAAAGACCTGACAGTGACAAATGCTGGACAACCCGCTTTCCCCCGCTGGTTTCCATCGCAAAAGCTTCCCCGCTAAACACCTCTCTATTTTTAACCTTAAGGGAGAAACAAGCAGCTAACACATCTTTTTGCTTCTGCTTCTACTCGCACATGTTTCCGATAATCCGAAGTTACGGTTTTTGAGATAAAACTTTTATCACCCAGCTTGGCGATCTTTCTAAACATGCCTTGTATTTCCCATTACAAACGAAGGGTGACATTTTTTCCGTTCCTTATTTTCCGGGGACGTTCTTTCCGTTTCCCTTTTTTCCGGGTGACATTTTTCCTACATCCTTTGCTATTATTGAACTGAGTACGGCAAAGCAAGTGGAGGTTATCTATCTATGGGAAAGGATGGCTTTATGGAAGACTTTTTAAGTGAAACTGGTTTGTATTTGCATTTCATATAAGAGAAAATTATAAAAGTATTTATGCAGTCAGCCCTTTCGCAGAGATTATAAACAATATCGAACTAGCACCGTTGACCAGACTTATACATTCTACCCACTAATGAACTAAGTAAACCATCTGTATATTTAACATCTGCTCCCTTAAGTAATTTTAAACAGAGGATTTAAATTACTAGATGACTAATAGCGTAAAATTCATTGTACTTAACGCATCGAAGTTGGCTTTTTCTCCGTATTATAAAATAATAATAATAATAAAATAAAGTAAAATAAATTAATATTTTGTATACGTTTAATTGACTTAGCTTCTTCCCCTCTCTTTTGCAATATTTGTGTAATAATTAATAAATGTTAAAATTAAATATCCTAACTTACTTTTTTTCTTTTTGGAATACTTAATTCTCTTAATCATTGTGATTTTAAATATTTGGTTCAAAATGAAAGGGCTTGTGCTATTTTAGTGTCTCCACTTTCAAAGAATCATGACGCTAAACTTGATAGCTACAGGGAAAATGGGACCGGATACGGAGGGTTATTCAAAGCTGTAAAAGGACAAAAGCTTTACGACTTAAAAGTATCACATAACCTTCGAAGTATTTTCTCGCCGTTTGCTTTGTGGGGAAGGATGACTTTGATTGACCTTACTGTTAAATCGAAAACCCAGGACTTAAAAGACTAACCCTGTGGAAAACCTAGCTTTTCTATTCAATCTTTGCTAATCACACGACAAAAAAAATGTAGGAGAAAGATATCCTTATTATGATGGGGCGATGGACTAAGTATGCGAATTTTTTAAATTTATTTTATATTGCATATAAAAATGAAAATAATTTATACAAAAATTTCATAACATCCATTTGGTGCCCCCTAGATGCTGCGCCCGGGGACAGATGTCCCCCCTTGCCCCCCCTATCTACGCCACTGCCCTGCACAATCGTCTAAACGCAACAAACAAAGGAAACAACAACAATTAAATCAAAGAGAGTACAAAAGAATCCCGAAGAAAATAATTCTCACGTGGTAATCATATCACGAATTACAAAGGCGCACACACTTATAGAGAATATCGATGAGCGTATTTAGAAAATAAGAAACAAAAAGCTCAACTTAGCTTTCTGATTACCAATGTATATACATACATGTATATGTATTTAAATTATAGTCTTAAAGAATATGATATTCTTTAAGACTATAAATATATGTATGTATATGTATATATATGTGTGTAAAATATGCAAGAAAATTACTAATTTAGCAGCAGTTCTTTTAATTTGGTTAAGTACCCTTCCTGGAATTTAAACTGCGTCAGTAGGAAAACTAATCCTCATTATGAACCGCATTATGCCATTTTTAATCCTGCAATTCGGTTAGCTGTTGTGCAGTCACCGTTCAAAATTTAAACAAAGGATTCGACTCTATACATACGCTTTGCTGGAATACGCATGACGTTTTCGTCTCCTCAGCAAGTGAGTGCGTCGTAATATCACATCTTATTTTACACGTTTTAATTTTTTTATTTTGCTGGGAATTTATTCACAGGAGTTTGAGACAGTACATATATAGCTCACATACTAGTTCGACTCCATTAATTTTGATAATTTCGGAGATGGCATGAGGATTTTGAGATAGCGTAGATACATCAGATGCCACAACGAAGAATGAAAAACATGCAGATATTGGTGTAGATAACAAGACACAATTTAATTTTTTGATGACACAATTTTGAGACACAATTTTGATTTAACTCTGAGAGTACATATTCTCATTTGCACATCACTGTGGGTACGATAAGTAACACACAGTTTATCGCAGCAAATGGCATTTCTTTCAGACAATGGGCGACATAGAGAGCAAAGCGATGCAACAGCACATGTTAGCTAGAGGATGTCAAGCAAAAAGCAAATGCGCATTTCAGCAAAGCGCATTTAGAGAGTTAAATCCCTTTGTTTAAATTTTGGTTTTGTTTCGTTTATTTAATTATGGCAAAGCACGCGAGGGCTATATGCTTATGGAGAAGAAGGCTTTCATGGATTTTTTTCTAAGGAAAACGGGCTCATTTGCACGATACATATAGTTAAAAACCATAAAAAACGTCCATGCAGCCAGCCCGTTCTTTCCGGACTCGAAGTGTGAACCGAACTACTAGTATTCAGCGACTTTACTACTCGGCCGCTGGTGGGCGTTTAAATTTTGAACGGTGATTTTACAACTAACCGCATTGCAGGATTAAAGGTGACATAATGATTAGTTTTCAAGTAATGCAATTTAGATTTCAGGAAGATAACGCAGCCATATTAAAACGAGGAATTAAAAGGACTGTTGCTAAATTAGTCAGTAATAAGGTATAAAATAGCAACGTAAAAGTATAATGTGTGTTACATCGCTTTGTTCTCTATATCGTCCATTGTCAGAAGAAAAATGTGGTATGGTACGAAAAATTGTGGAGTCTGTGATACCCTCATAAGTGATGAACGAACCCTATACGAAATCCCTAGTAATGTGTAAACGAGAATATGTGTGCTCAGAATTAGTCCATCAAGAAAATAAAACTATGTCTTCTTTTCTATGCAAGCTATGTCTGCAAGTATGCAAGCTATGTCTGCAAGTCTGCAAGCTATGTCTGCAATATATGTCTGCAAGTTTTTCATCTGCGTTATATCATCTGATGTATCTACGCTACTTTCAAATTCTCAAGTCATCTACAGAATTATCACACACAAACATATATATGTCAATTAAAGCCGAAAATTTACAGTATATTTGTGTAAGTGTTGAAATTCAACAATATATGTATGTTCATTTCAGCAATATATGTATGTTATTTTTTTTAATTAGAAGAAAACAAAGTAATATGTAAAAAATATTATACTATTTTTTAAATGTATTTCACAATGTATCTAGTTTTCCCATTGGTTGACACTTCAGAATGTTATTTTTTGCGAAATTAAGTTATTAAAAGAAAATTAAATTATTAACAACAACTTAAATCAACTAACAACTGCGCGTCGTGTTCTTGAATGAATGAGATATTATTTGCATTCGCCGAAAGGTGACGCCACTGCGCCGTAAGAAACGATTCTTTTCTTCTTATTTAGGTTTATTATCATTTAAAAGTAGGCAAGACAATCTTTTATTTGAATTTTAATTGGCGTTATTTATCTACAGCATTCTCAGATAGAATGATTCTTATAGCTGACGTCATAATATTTTAAAATTTTTTTTAGTAGTGAAGGCTGGAATCTTAGTTTTAAAAGTTGAAAGTCCAAAATGGAAAAAGAAAACAAATAAGTTAATCATCTATGATTATTTAAAGTTCATTTTTAGGTTAGCTTCGGAATACGAAACATTTGTATCGAAACTTGGCATTCAAAATTCTGAGTATCTCCGCACATTTCATTAAAGGACACTAAAAAAAATTACTCAGTATTACTGCAGCATTTCACCTAGCTCATTTAACTGCAACTTTTTTGAAGAAAATAAAGAAAATTGAAGATGAGTTTATTTTTTACTCTACAAGTTATCATTTTCCTGTCTTGCAGTATACTTTGTGAAGTATCGCGAAGTGCTAGCTTAGGAATCGAATCTACAAAATGCAAAAGCTGTTCTCAAAGGAAAGCGGAACTTCCTGAAGAAGATCTAAGAAAACTTAGACTAGAATATCTGAAACAGCAGATTTTGAAGAAGCTACACTTGTCTGAACCTCCAAAGACAAATTTATCGAAGCCTTTTAAGAAACCTCTTCTTTTAATTGCTGAAGCGGCAGAGAATAACACTTTTAAGGCCGATTGGTTATCATCGGAAATGGAAAGCATGATTATATATCCCAGGCCAGGTGAGTTGCTATAAAATTCTATTTTTTACATTAAGTGCTCTGATCTTTTATTAAATTTCTTTTCCTTTGTGTCAAATGCATCTTTTCAGAAAATGTTTATGACGAGTTACTTAATGTAGACTCCCTTCTTAATACGAGCGGAATTAGACGATATTTGAATTATATGAATGGATATTAAACGCGTTGCTTCATGTACAAAATGTTTTGTTAATTCTTAAATATAGAGATATGGATCAGATTAAATTTTTTTAGAATTGCGATTTGAAACATTCTTAAACAGAATTAACGTTTAGATGCTGCTTTTAAATATCCGGCTTCCTGATTCTTAAATTACGAGAGATGTGTTGGTCTAAGATCTTTATTACTGAGATGGAGTCTGACCTTGTACACTGAATTCATCTGAATCTTAAAGCCAAAGCTCCCTAACAAACTTTATTAAAAAACTTTCACTTGGAAAACATACACCTTTTTTTTAAAAAAAAAAAATAATAATCGTACAGATTTCCCAAAATTAACATTATATTTAAATTTACATTCATTTTGAAATGCTTGTCATGATGCTTTCTGAAAAATAAGGCGAAAGAAAGAACACAATCTCTCATTTTTCTGAATTTACTTTACTGTGCGTTTATTAGAAAATCTGAGTGACAACTCTGGAAATTCCGTGTTATAACAAAGGAATTCACATGTAACATTGATCCTTTTGAAGAAGAGAAAAATTAGAATGAAATTATAGTGAAAAGAAACGAGTTTCCTTATTATAGCAATTAAATGACGTGAGCAACCGTCTATTAATACATATGGAATCAGGCACCTTTGAATAAACCAAAAAATCTAAATCTTTTTTATTCTTTTATAATAAAATTCGATTTCTTGCAAGTACTTTTTAAACCTTACTTGAAATTTCGCTGTAGAACCAATGTTATGGTAAAAAATAGTTCTAAACTTTTGCCATTGGGAAAGCCAGGTGGTTTAGTTACATTTCAACACATTCCTCATATTAAATCCCTTAAAATTCTACATGCATAAACTACTTTTATATAGAATTTTGTTATAAAGTTACGCATGGTAGAAAAGTTAGCTTAATCGCATATCTATCTGTATATTTATTAATTAAAAAAATATGTGCTCAAATTATTGCAAGGTAATTTTATTTTTAAATTTAGATTTGATAAAAATATGATTTTTCTGCTTCGTACATGATTTCTCTCAACAGACTGTTTAGAACTTTAAGAAATCTTGACTAAGTATGTTAACAAAATGGCCAATTTTTGTCCTTAAAATTTAACTTTCAGAAACATAGTTAAATTCGAAATCATATGGAAATTTCAAATCGTAATGTTTGATTGCCTCAATTAAAATTATCATGATTATCTATGCAGCATTTTTAAACTGTATTATCATGCACACTTACAAGCTTTAATTCATAAACAGATTGTTATATTTCTTTATAAATGTTCAGAAAATAATGTGCATTTATATGATTTCATCGTAGTCATATCTTTAAGTCAAGATTTTTCAAATTTTAAGCTAACAATTCTTAGTTTCATTGTTATTCTTTAATGCGAGTTTGAACACATTACAATTTGTTTGAAATATTTTTCAATGTATTTTTGTATTGACATATTTTATAAAAGTGAAAATGATTTTCGTTTCGTTAAGTAGGCATATATATATATATATATATATATATTACGTATATTCATTTTTTTCAAATTTTGATATTTCTCCAATTGATGAATTTACCTAAAGCTGAAGTTAATGTATTAAAAAGTAAAATGGGTTAATAGTCTGAGGTGTTTCTTCTCAATTGAAAGTATCATTCACCTCTGAGTAATTTTAACTTACAGAAAACAGAACTATTTCTTCTAAGATAATCTAAAAAACACATACTGCTATAAACTTCCCTTTTTTTATGAAGTTATTACCTTCAGAAAAGCTTTTGTTATTTTGTACATAACTCCTTGCTTTTCTGAAAACTGGAGAGGTTGATCATTTTAAACTCACAATGTCATGTATAAATTTTCGCTTTTTTTATTCTGTTCTATGTAAAGTTCTTTAAATTGCTCTGGAAATAAGTATACTGATGAGTTGTTTTAATAGTGTTATTCATATATTCATTTCATACAATCATATTTTCTTTATGTATTCTGAAGCATTTGCTTCATATTACATATATTATGTAAATTTTAAGTATTGCAAATCTTAGGTTACGATCTGATTTCTGATACTGAGATAAAATGATTAGAAATACAGGCAGAAAATTTAAAATTCTATCTTTAAAATATAATTTGAGTTTTTATTATGTAGGATCCACTTCTGAAACATAGAGAGCAATACTTTTCAAGGCGAAGTGTTTGTTTAATTTATTTTGAAACTTCACTTTCGGAAATGAATATGCTTAAAAACAGTAAAATGGCACATAGAATTTAAAACTTACAGACTACTGCACTTACAAAACTGAACATTCAGAGGATATTATTCGGACATATTTTATTTTTTTGCAGAATATGTAACGTAGGCAATATGGAATAAATGCCTATCATTTCAAAACAATGTGCATTACACACATAGATTAAGATTCAGTTTCTGTGTTAACTTCTAGGTTATACCTAGGTTTCTTGCTGTGTGTGCCATGCCACTGAATGAAACAAAATTTTATGCTTTCTTGCGCAATGTTTATGGAAGCTATATTAACCTGAGCTCAAATTTCATCAAAATCTGCTGGAAGACTCTGCATTTTCTGTGGGAGATTAATCAGATGATTTAAGTGGCCAAGGGAGAAGTAATGTTGGTTCTGAAGATGGCTCACATTGAGGTGTTCCTGCAAGAAAATTACCCTGCAGGAAAATTACCTTGATGCACTTTTATGGCTGCTTAAATTTTGATGAGAGGTTATTTGCTGTTAAACCCACTTATGCTCACACGTATGCGACCATCATTTTTGCTTGAACAAAAAATTGTGTGGCATACCGTGATAGATGACATTTGTGAATGTATTACGTTTCGCCACTGGTCTGCGTGTACTGTCAGCGATGCAGAACGTTCAGCCAAAGACATCCTAATGAGATGACGGTCCTTATTCGGCTTTATCCGAATATAATGTCATTCAATTTCAGCCATGACATTATTATAAAATAATCAAAACTAATTTACGTATGGATAAATTTACGGGTTTCATTTCCAGAGCTTTCGCATTTGAGGACTGATGAGACTGAAATTATAATCATTTATTATGTATTGCCTACCTTACATAGCCTGAAAAAATGAAAGTTTTAGTCACATTCCTTTTAGGTAGTATAAGGTTTGCGAATAGAAGTGCATACGATAAATATAATTCCTTTTTTTTAAAAGTTATTTCAGCATGTTATCTTTCATTTACTAATATTAAAGCTTATGTTTTGCTAGTGTGCGATATTTATCGAATGAAAGTTTTCGGAACTAAATTTGATATCTTAATCGCATCTGAGATTATTATGCTTAAAACTGTTATTCAATGAAAATACATTACCAAGCAATGAGCTGCTTTTGGTAGATGTATGTGACATCTTTTGTGAATACATTTTATATAGAATCATGATATATGTGTGCTTTTGTAAATCGATCTCAAAGGGTTACATACGTTTGTATATTTCTATATGGATGATCCCGCGAAATGAGGCTCTAGGAAAGTATTTATAAACAGTTAAACCCCCAAAGTAGTGATTTTCAGCAGGATAACGCCCGACCGCACAGTGCTCGCATCTGCCAACATGCTCTGCAAGGTATACAGATGCTTCCCTGGCCACCGTACTCTCCTGACCTGTCACCAATCGAACATGTATGGGATGTGATTGGACGCCGTTTGCAGACTCTGCCATTGCCTCGTTGCCTCGTTCAGAAGACGAACTGTGACAAATGGTTGAAAGGGAATGGAGAGCCATCCCTCAGGACACCATCCGCACTCTTATTGACTCTATGCCTAGACATATTTTTTCATGCATCGCTGTCCGCGGTGGTCCTACATCCTACTGAGCCGACGCCGTTCTCGCTCTGTATTCTGACTATCATTTTGAAATAAAGATCACTTATTGCTGCTTGCTCTGTTTTTTTCCAAATTTCATCACTTTCTGACCACTTCTTCTTGGTGTTGCATTTTCAATGTCGAGCAGTGTATTACAGAGAAGACGTGGCTCACTTTGTCGCTGGAATCGACACTTTGCGTAAAATTTAGTTACGAAATATCTGTTAAATTTGTGAAATTTGCCACTTTCAAAATCCATTAGCTGAACAAAGACGGAGGAAACAGGTGAAGTATAAAACTGTATTAAATAGTGTATAGTAATTAATTATTGCAATAATTATAAAATTCCCATTATGCTGTTGTAATATGCACTTCATTACAAATAGAGATTTTTATAAACACGCGTAAAGCGATATTTATAAAGTCGTAAAAGTACAAGAGAATATAACTGCCCTTGAGCTGCATCTTTATTAGCTTAGTGCTAAGGATGACCTTAAATACACGTTAAGAAAACATACACACTTGAAGTAGATATATTAACAAAAGGATAGCAATAACTAAAAATTGTTTACGAGTGCGACCGGAATTGACTTTGCTATAAATTTTATCATGAACAAGAAATATTGAGTACACATATTAGAAAATTTACATTTGAGTAGAGTGAACATATTAAAAAAAGGTAACTACAGTTTGTTACAGTTATTTTAACTGCAGTTTTACCAATGAATAGAATTCGCTATAAGTTATTAAATGAAAGATAAATTATGCACATACTGCTAATATACATTACAGCTGAAGAATTAGTTTCATTATCTGGGACAAGAAAACATTTTGAGATCGCAAAAAAATTAATTAGCATTCTGACACAAAACGAAAATAATCAGACGCCCGCATACATACAAAGACGGAGAGAAAAAATTCCTGGCAGAATATAATGAAAAGTTTTACAAGTTACGACTGTCTAAAAATTGCCTCGCAGTAGGCCCGTTGGTCGCAC